AACGTCATTCCAAGATCTCCAAATGATGTTGAATTTTTGTTCTGTTTTGCATTCTGAACACATATGCAGTCACATGCATACATTTTTTCAATACATAGAGACATAGATATTGTGATTTATCTGGTTGTAGTTGCTTGATCTGAGACTTACCTGCAATCCGCGGGTGTCTCCCAGTGGCATGTGATGTCTCTGCTATGAGCCATCACAGGATGTGCTTTGCAGCGTATTGAGAGGAAAAAATGCGGTTCCTTGCAGTCTGGAGGGTTTGGATCGGCTTATTTCTTGCAGGATATTTGCCCATAGGTCGCAGCGTGGCGAATGAAGTTTATTTCCGTCTAGCTCCAGCAGATGTTTGCAACGGCTTCCGCAGAAGCGGAGTGGTGGTGCCGGTGCTGCCCACGTTGAGTGCATAAAGTAGTCAAATTCATAATTTAGTCCATTTGATTTCGCATTAGTTCGCTACATCCTCATGGCAACTCAACGCTTCTGCTGAGCCTTTGTGTCGCTGTGCGCCTGTTGGATCCGAAATACACAATTGACGTGACTCGTTTGGCGAAAGCGCAGGTGAACCACGTGGCAACAAGTTGACATAACAAAGCATATTACACATAACTTATATAACTAACTTATGTTGCAGGCATCCAATAGAGTTGCTCATGTTGCTGTGGATTTGACACAATGCTACAGTTATAGGACAAAACAATTATAGAAAACAAGAAGCCGGCGTGAACCTGCGCGGAAATTCACGAATGAGATAGTAGTATAGCAGTGACAAGACCCCACCTCCCAGTCCAATGTGAAGCAAGCAGCTGGAGCCGGGCGGGTCAGTAGATTTGTAAACTCCAGCTGTTTGATTCGCGGGTCACCGACCAAAAGTGATAGGAAAGGATAGAAAAGTAAATATAAGTAAATAAGCCAGTGGAGTATGAATGCGAAGTTGGATTGTAGCTATTGGACGCCTAATTTGTAAGGGCTGTTGGTGGTGAGATCTGGTCGACTCTGGACACCAGCCGACTTGGCGCATGACCCTGCGACCACAAGACCGAAAGCCCAAAACCACTGGAAATCGCTGGAACCCTAAATGCAGACCTTCAAGTTCATTAAAGTTCCAGATTCCAAACCGCTCACAGTTTTGTAATAATTTGTATTTGTAATGTGAAGATATGTGAAGAATTTCGGAAGATACTCCAGAACCACCATGGGATGGCCGTTTGCGAAATTGAGCGCAGTTTTGAAGACAATATTTCTGAGCCGACGTTCCTGGCTCCTGTGTCTTCACAAGGTGTAAGAATGGATATGGTTCGTTCCGAGACGCGTAGCAAAACCATGCAATAGCAACAAAACACATGGGCAAGTCGTTTTCACATCCCTGTGAGATCTCCCAGCCGCGAGCACAGTATAGGAGAAAATGCGGAAACTGGTTTCGTCCCTTCGAAGTGCACCGAGACACTCCACCTGGACATCACAAAATGGACAGCCATGGTACCAAGATTTGGAGTCCAACATCGTTAACGAATTCTCTCCACACAAAATCACACAAAATGGCACACACACACATCACCCAGAATCACCCAGACAGTATACAACATGATCAACATGGATGGAATCTGGTTGGTTCCGGAGCGAACTGCCGTTCACGCGCAGTGATCGGGGCAACTACCAAAAACTCTTCGGTAAGGTTCGGAGATCGTCCAAGAAGTGTCTCCAACCCAAAACGGAAAGCGCGGCCCAGCCACAAAATAGACAGGGCCTGGCCAGGTTCCCCAGTCTTGCTGACATTTCCGTGCTAGCTTTAAGTAGGATAATAAGTATATGATTTGTGCTTATCGACGAGGACAGCGACCAAAACTCTGGTTCCGAGACCGTTCAGCAAGACAGAATGAGGCATGAATCATGAACCCCAATACGGCGAAATGGATCGAAATTTGCCGTGGCTGTTTTGTTCATTCATCCTGGCCATTGCAACGTGGAACGGCGCAAGCGAAACACTACAAAATGGATAGGCGGTGGCTGATTACATGGTCTAGCTGGCCAGCGCATTCTGCGGCCTAGACGATCAATATGATCAATGTAATTTGGCACATGATGATTGTGAATCATGCCCCAATGCGATATAAATTTGAAAACATACCGAAGCGTGTTGGCGTGTCATATTTTTTCCCGAGAGCGTCTGAGCGCAGGGTTCTTCTAATAGTGGGTGTCTGTGAAACATTTTCAAATAACATCTTCAAATCTTCGCGTCTTCTCATCTTCACATCTTCTCATCTTCACATCTTCTCATCTTCACATCTTCTCACCTTCACATCTGTTCATCTTCACATTTTCTCATCTTCACATCTTCTCATCTTCACACCTTCTCATCTTCACATCTTCTCATCTTCACATCTTCTCATTTTCACATCTTCTCATCTTCATATCTGTTCATCTTCACATCTTCTTCTCCTCACATCCTCACATCTTCACATCTTCTCATCTTCACATCCTCACATCTTCACATCTTCTCATCTTCACATCCTCACATCTTCACATCTTCTCATCATCACATCCTCACATCTTGACATCTTCTCATCTTCACATCTTCTCATCTTCACATCTTCACATTCTCTCTTGCTCTCTTGCCCTCTTGCTCCCTCCTTCTTTTCTATTTCTCTCTTGAAGGCGCGGGGCAGACGCCACGAAATTCAACCCTTTCGCACGAAATGAGGTTCGATCGCCAAAACTGAGGTAAAATTGCGATTTCTGGCGTCCAATCGCAACCCTTTCGCACGAAATGAGGTTCGATCGCCAAAAACAGAAGTAAAATTGCGATTTGTAGGTGTCCGGCGCAACCCATTCGCACGAAATGAGGTTCGATCGCCAAAAATTGCGATTTCCGGGTTCCCGTCGCAACTCCTTCGCACGAAATGAGGTTCGATCGCCAAAAACTGAGGTAAAATTATGTAAAATTGCGATTTGCAATTGTCCGGCGAACCCTTTCGCACGAAATGAGGTTCGATCGTCAAAAACTGCGGTAAAATTGCGATTTCCGGGTTCCCGTCGCAACTCTTTCGCACGAAATGAGGTTCGATCGCCAAAAACTGAGGTAAAATTGCGATTTGCAAGTTGTCCGGCGAACCCTTTCGCACGAAATGAGGTTCGATCGCCAAAAACTGAAATAAAATTGCGATTTCCGGGTTCCCGTCGCAACCCTTTCGCACGAAGCGAGGTTCGATCGCCAAAAACTGAAGTAAAATCGTGGTTTCACGGGTCCGGCCTCTGTGTGTGAAAGTGTGTGTGTGTGTGTAAAAGCTTCTGTGTGTGAAAGCTTGTGTGTGTAAAAAGCGTCTGTGTGTAAAAGCGTCTGTGTGTGAAAGTGTTTGTGTGTGTAAAAGCGTCTGTGTGTGAAAGCGTGTGTGTGCGTGAAAGTGTTTGTGTGTGTAGAAGCGTCTGTGTGTAAAAGCTTCTGTGTATAAAAGCGTCTGTGTGTAAAAGCGTCTGTGTGTAAAAGCGTCTGTGTGTAAAAGCGTCTTTGTGTAAAAGCTTCTGTGTATAAAAGCGTCTGTGTGTAAAAGCGTCTGTGTGTAAAAGCGTCTGTGTGTAAAAGCGTCTTTGTGTAAAAGTCTCTGTGTGTAAAAGCGTCTGTGTGTAAAAGTCTCTGTGTGTAAAAGCGTCTGTGTGTAAAAGCTTCTGTGTGTAAAAGTTTCTGTGTGTAAAAGCGTCTGTGTGTAAAAGCGTCTGTGTGTAAAAGTCCCTGTGTGTAAAAGTCTCTGTGTGTAAAAGCGTCTGTGTGTAAAAGCGTCTGTGTGTAAAAGCGTCTGTGTGTAAAAGCTTCTGTGCGTGTAAAAGCTTCTGTGTGTAAAAGCTTCTGTGTGTAAAAGCGTCTCTGTGTGTGTGTGTAAAAGCGTCTTTGTGTAAAAGTCTCTGTGTGTAACAGCGTCTGTGTGTAAAAGCGTCTGTGTGTAAAAGTGTCTGTGTGTAAAAGCTTCTGTGTGTAAAAGCTTCGTCTGTGTGTAAAAGCGTCTTTGTGTAAAAGCTTCTGTGTGTAAAAGCTCTGTGTGTAAAAGCGTCTGTGTGTAAAAGTCTCTGTGTGTAAAAGCGTCTGTGTGTAAAAGCTTCTGTGTGTAAAAGTTTCTGTGTGTAAAAGCGTCTGTGTGTAAAAGCGTCTGTGTGTAAAAGTCCCTGTGTGTAAAAGTCTCTGTGTGTAAAAGCGTCTGTGTGTAAAAGCGTCTGTGTGTAAAAGCGTCTGTGTGTAAAAGCTTCTGTGCGTGTAAAAGCTTCTGTGTGTAAAAGCTTCTGTGTGTAAAAGCGTCTCTGTGTGTGTGTGTAAAAGCGTCTTTGTGTAAAAGTCTCTGTGTGTAACAGCGTCTGTGTGTAAAAGCGTCTGTGTGTAAAAGTGTCTGTGTGTAAAAGCTTCTGTGCGTGTAAAAGCTTCTGTGTGTAAAAGCTTCTGTGTGTAAAAGCGTCTCTGTGTGTGTGTGTAAAAGCTTCTGTGTGTAAAAGCTTCTGTGTGTAAAAGCGTCTGTGTGTAAAAGTCTCTGTGTGTAAAAGCGTCTGTGTGTAAAAGCTTCTGTGTGTAAAAGTTTCTGTGTGTAAAAGCGTCTGTGTGTAAAAGCGTCTGTGTGTAAAAGCGTCTGTGTGTAAAAGTCTCTGTGTGTAAAAGCGTCTGTGTAAAAGTGTCTGTGTGTAAAAGTCTCTGTGTGTAAAAGCGTCTGTAAGTAAAAGTGTCTGTGTGTAAAAGTGTCTGTGTGTAAAAGCTTCTGTGTGTAAAAGCTTCTGTGTGTGTAAAAGCGTCTGTGTGTGTCAAAGCGTCTGTGTGTGAAAGTTTCTGTGTGTAAAAACGTCTGTGTGTAAAAGCCTCTGTGTGTAAAAGTGTCTGTGTGTGAGAGTGTTTGTGTGTACAGTGTAAAAGCTTCTGTGTGTGTAAAAGCGTCTGTGTGTGTAAAAGCTTCTGTGTGTAAAAGCGTCTGTGTGTAAAAACGTTTGTGTGTAAAAGCCTCTGTGTGTGTAAAAGCCTCTGTGTG